TGAGTTCGAGGCCGAGGCGTCTATGAGCTGTTTGGGCTTTGAATGGCACCCCAGCCGAGTTTCATTTTTTGTGATCAGGGGACGTGGAGTGTATTGACCGAGAGAGGGAGCCGTTGTGTGCCCTCGGCGAGTGCGATCAGGCGAGCGTGTGCGTGGCAAGAATCTGGGGTACGGTCTGAACTTCTCTGATGCTCAGCTGAGAGGGTTGGTCAGCGATGTCTCAGACCGAGGGTGCCCGTCATTACTTCTCGCGGCTGTCGTACACGGTGGCCCGGCTATTGAACGACCCGCGAACGACAGCATCCCTACATCGAACGAAGATAACGCGAATAGCTAGATTCCGACACGCACCGGAGTGCAGCACTCCGGTAAGTCTCAAAGTGGTTGGATGATATCCTGAATTGGCCCGACTTGATGGCAGAAGCCTAATCAAGCCTGTTCCTAGTCAAATGGGGAGAACATGGAAGTCAATGCTCGATCGCAAACGATGCTCGGAGACGGCGGCGCATGTGTCTGGGCCCTCTGGTGGCCCAGAATAACCAATGTTGTTATGCCGTAACAACAGTTTGTGTACCGCCGGGAGGGAAGTCGTGATCGAGATCGGTGAGTGGCCTGTCGTCTGCTGCCCGCGAGTCTATTCTGATGCTGGTCAGCCGTTGGCGCCTGCTGCGATAATCGATATCGCAACTGGGAAGCAACACAAATGCTCGTGTTGGAGACTGCGGCATCGTTGGCCGGCAGCACCGCTTGTATAACAGATGCTTCTGCCCGGAGCGTCTGTTCGGGCTCATGGCTCGACACTTGGCGTGGAGCGGGCGCGTGTCCGACGTCGTGAGCGCGACGGGAATTGGATAGCGAAAGGTGAGCCCGCTGCTGCGAGGAGGAGGACGACACTCTGTGATTGTTACACGCAGGCGCTCTACGGGCGCTAGTTGGGAGGTGCGCCTTGTCGACTGCTCGCCGTGTGCGTCCCTCGATCGCATCCGCTGCTGCTCAGAGCTAGAGAAGTGACCGGGCGAAAATGAAGAGATAGGGCAAGGGAAGGGGAATAGAGAGCAGTAGGCTATAGAGAGCGGTAGGCTATAGAGAGCGGTGGGGGTAGAGTCGCACAAGGTACGGGTTGCAACAAAATATATTCAAAGTCTTACTAATGTTCATACAGTACTAGTCTCGTCCGGTAATATTCCCGCTGCCCTGCCCATCGCTCTCTCCTCGCCCGCCATCGTCCCGCCACCGTCCCGCCACCAGCAGACTCTGTCCTGCGTGCGCGCCCGGTCAGCATGCTCCGCGCTGAGTCGCTGGCGCATCGCAGAAGCACGCGCCGCCCCTGGTCAGTGCGACGTGACCGAGTCCAGCGTTGCGCGTCGGGGCAAAGACGCTGCGCTGCACCATCCCAGCCAGTCCGGCTAGCAAGGGCGCAGACCGCCGCAACGGATGCTGACTGGGTGCGCAACGGCGCGCGCTGCCACAATGGATCCTGACCGGGCGCGCAACATCGCGTGTTGCCATTGCGCGCGTTCGCGCTCGCACCTGCGAACGCGGTCAGCATTCCGCGCGCGGGCACTACCCACCATGTCCGGACGCCCGCGCCCCGCGCCCGGTCAGCTCGCCGCCTCGCACCGCCTCCGCGCGATGGCGCCCGCTCCGTTTTGCGCACGCGCTGCCCCCGGTCAGCACGACACGACCGAGTCCTGTGTTGCGCGGCGGGGGCGAAGACGCTGCACGGGGCGCGAAACACCGCGCGCTGCCATTGTGCGCGGTCGCGCTCCTGCCTGCAATCGCGGTCAGCATCCCGTGCACGAGCACTACTCACCATGTCCGAATGCCCGCGCGCCGTGCCCGATCCGCTCGCTGCCTCCGCGCGATTGCGCCCGCTCCATCCCGCATCCCGCGCGTGCTCAACGCGCCCAGCAAGACACTCTGATTTGCGCGCGCTGGCTGCCTCGTTTCTGTAGGTCGCGCGACGCTCTGTGCTTCACCGCTGCCTATGCCTCAAAGCTGCCGCTCAAAGGTCAGTACGCCCGCAAAAAAGTAAGTATGAACTCACCACGGCACCCTTCACGCAGCCCGCGGCTGACCTAGCAGACAACGTAGCCACGCCGCCCGACGCTCCCGCGTCCAATCGCTGCGCTGAGAAGCACCGCCGCCGGTCACTCCAATGGCCCGCGTCTTCTGCGCCTGTCGATGGCGTACACCGCCTCCGTCGCAATGTTGACCGTGTCCGCACCCGCGCAGAAGTATGCGCACGCGACCCCGAGCGCGCCTGTCGATTGCGCTCCCGGCTAGCGTGCCCGGTCACCTAATTTTGCTGACCGGCCAAGGTAAGCCTAAAAGAAACTCTTAGAATTTCTCCGGCCGCACTCTGCGGCATTACGACTCACCTCGCCGGACGCAATACGATCGACGCGCTGCGCTGCGCTCGCGTTGCGCGCTGTCCGCTCTGGCCGCACAACGCCCATGCGCGCGCAGTACGAGGACCCGAAGGGCGCTGGCAACCCAGACGAGTGGGCGGACACCGCACGCAAGCGCGCGGCGGGGACGTGGCGCACCGCGTGGTGGCGGCGCATCTCGCGCGCGGACAGGTGCCGGCACAGCGAGGACTAGATCGCGCGGTGGGTGTTGTGCGTGTGCTGGTGCTGGTGCCTGCTCCTGCGCGCGGGCGGGAGAGGGTTGTTGCTGACGACCGGGCCGCGACAGGGACATGACGGATGCGCAGAAGCAGTGCCCGTACACCCTCCCGCTGGTGCTGCACGCACCGTCGGCGCGTTTGTTCGTCGTGCGCGTGGGCATCCTGCCCTCAGACCCGACCCGCGCACCGGACGACGCACGCCAGCTGCTTGCGCAGGAGCGCGCGATCCTGCACGATGTGCCGGACAACCGCGACCCATGGGTGCTCCTGAACAAGCGCAGCGTGCGGAAGAGCGGCATGGTCACGCGGTAAGTGCCCCCTTCACCCCGCATTCAACGTTCGACACTCGACGGTCAACGGGTACGCCTGTGCTGACCGGTCTGCGCGGCCGTAGGCGAAACGGCACCGGCACGCCGTGGAACAAGGTGTGAAATCACGAGATCGCGCGGTGCAGGGGGTTCAAGGCCGGGCTGGATGGCGGTGACGGTAAGGACAGCAAGGACGGTCAGGACGGCGGGAGAGGGTTGCGCTGTCGCTGCCATGCGAGCCCGCGAGCATCGTGTATGGGCACCCGGCGACGCGCCGGTTCGATGTGAAGCGCTGGAGCGTGGACGTCGACACGCTGTCTGATGCCTGCGCTGCAAGCGTTTGCGGCGCGTCCTCATCGCTGTCGCCCGCGTTGAGGTCTGTGAGCGCGGCGGCGCGCTCCGGGTCTCGACTCTGATGTCGAATATTTGACCGAGGAGCCGCAGGGTGACGACATGGGGCCAACCAGCAACGTGATGCGGTACAGATATAGAGGCCGTTACTGTCCTGAACAGTGCCCGTCAGCGTCGCAGATAGCAGAATAAGATGCCGCGCACTCACTGCGCACTCGAGTGTGATGGCAGGACCGTCGTCTCGCCGACAAAAGCCTCTGCACCATTCGCCAACAGGAAGCCGGGCACTTCACGCACCCAGGTGCGCCATCATCAAAGTGTTTGCGGCCACACGCCGAGATGTTGCCCACGATGTCGAGGGGCGCACAGCGCGAGATTGTGCCGTGGAGGTCTTTGTCTCTCGTCATGATTGTTTTGCTACCTGGGACGCCGACAGCGAGCACGCGTGGCGTCGAGCTGGAGGCTGAGTGCAGGGCAGAGAACGTCAAGCCGTGTGCCGCAGCATGCCTGTTAGAGTGACCTAAGTGATTGCCGGAACATGTCGAATAGAACGAGACTCACCTCATCCTGCCGTCGCAAAGTCACGCGCGACGTTGAAGGCCATGTCCGAGCATAGTGCCTTTCTGCCCTTCGTGGCGCGCACGCAGGTACGAGCATCTGGCCGCAGAATTTGATGCCCTTCTGGAAGCGAGATATAGCATGCAGACGCACACTGCATGCCGACACCGATGCACGCGCTGTGTGTGGTGCAGACCCATTCCACGCGAGTGATATCGGCTCGCTCGACCCATCGATGGGCTTCTCGATTCGCGGCTCTTTCGTAGGTGTGACCACGCATTTGCACGCATCGGGCGGGGGGTCCTGTGACCAAACCTGCGCACACCGTACAATCTGAGATCAGCGCTGATCGATCACGGCCTTTGAACGACATGCTTACCAGCCACCTCGAACCAGCCTGGCAGAGCATCTCGCCACCATCTGTGCTCTCGTCTACTTGGCTACCAGATGCAGCATCCCACTGTAGCAAACCTAGCAAGGCCTTGTTAGTGACTGGAAACACAAGACAACCATGGGCACAAATCCACTTACTTGGAAGCCAAAGACATGTTTGCGGCCATTGGCCATCATTCGGAGTGCAATCACAGACAGAGACAGAGAGAGATGAACTCTGGCCAGAAAGGTAACAAAGTAGTAGAAGGGAAGTAGTGGGGGAATTATCACAATAAAATTACACATCACTTATATAGTCTTGGCCAGACAGCGCGGGCAGAATCCCCGGCATGTTGTGCCCGAACACTAATATGTAATTTGATTCCTTTTCTGGAATTGTGGCTGTTGTCGGGCCGCTAATTTCAGAATATCAGCAGGGCGCCCTTTGCAACAATGACAGAATCCGTAAGCGTATTCACACGCCTTGGGCTGTATTTGGTAACTGCACCCACAATTGCATATGCTTCGGAGAAAATCAACATAGAACATCATTTTGATGGTCTCGCACTTGGCCTTGATGGTTGCCATGATGTTGACACTCATTGCTATTGACATCATTTGGGACAGCGGGTGTCTTCACATCACTGCAGATCAAGCAACTGACCGGGGCAAGTATCCTATGTATCGTGAATGAATCAATGAGAGGCCCGGTGTTGTGTTGTTATTTCCGCACTCTGAAGCCATGCAGATTTACTTAGGATGCAGCTGGATACGGATTAAGTTTGGGAGAAATCACAGCGAGAGGATGTGGATGTGCGTATCATGCATTACATACCTGTCGCACAGCTTAGAAGGCACGCCCTTGACAACGCGGGTCTCTTTGGCCGGCGCTGACATGCATGCAATAACAAAGTGCGGGGACATGCTGATGTTGTGTCCCTGACAATGGAAGCAGTCGTGCGGACAGCGTACTTGTTCGCATCAATTACAATCTATTACACGCAACAAACCCGCCTTTGTTCTCCTGCATTCCTGCAATGCTCTCCCATTGCTAGTTCATTCAGAGGGTGTGCGTAGCCCTTACATGCGAGAGTGTTCCGGTATTCTGTGAGTTCAGGCTCAGCGAGCGGGATCATGTACAGTAGTGTAACATTGGCAGTCAGGCTGTGTTTGCGGTAACGGAGATGACGGCAGAGACAACAGATCTCACGGAAACACTGCAACAGCCGTTCGCGCAGGCATGACACATCCCGCGCGGCGAGATCGAGACGAGTACAAGATGGTATCCTAGTCCTTGGCTTGCAAGGTCCGTGCGCAGCCTTGTAGCGGATAAATTGGGTTGTGAGTGCGGAAGGCCGCGCCACGCGCGATGTTCATCCTCCCCTCATACAGGACAGTCAAACAGTCAGCCGGCACAAACATTGAGGATGTGCGCAGGTAAGTTGTTCTGCTATGTCTCACTGCATATGCACGCTGAACTGCTCGTTACCGGCCCCGCATCGACACGGCTCGTATCGCCTGGGGCGATATGAAGAATCGCTGTCGCTGTTACCGTTGCCATCAATCAATAGCAGGCCTCTTATGAGGCGCAGATGCTGACCGCCCCCGCAATTTGAAGGCGCACGCGCAGGTTGGATGTGGAAGCCTCTGTGTTGTCCCTATACGCTGACAGGAGATTCATGCTTCCAGGTACATCTCGCGTGCGGTCCGGTCATTGTCACTGACGCATATGATACTCACGTCGCCGACTCGCACGCGAGACCGCCCAGTGCATGCACGCAAGACGGCACGAGTATAGGGCGGTCGTGCATCAGGTTCCGCACGCAGGCCGGTACGCAATTCACCCAGTCGCGCACTCATACTAACACCCATTTGATCAGAGTGGTTCCCGTGGTCGGCGCGTTCGCAATGCGTGCGAGAAGGCGGGGTCGAGAACACCACAGGTACGTCCTCCATTTCACACTGTGTGCTGCGCTCCGCTGACGTTGTCATTGGCCGGGCTTCTACGGGCGCGCGGGCGCGTTTGGACCATGCCGCGGGTTGTGCAGCGGGCTATCGGGAGGAGGAGGCGTGACGGCAATCAGCACGCGCAATGGTAGTCGAGACATGTATTTACGTACCTTTTGTGTTGCGTGTAGTCCAGACGACGGGCGTCCGGGGATGCGAGAGAGCTGGGCGCGGTGTCCGTGACCGGGGAGAAAGCAAGAGGGGACCGACGCGCATGCGACGGCGCGGTGTGAGTGTGATGGCAGAATGTCAAGCAGGCACGCACCGGACGGCGCGCGAAACAATGCAAGGGCGAAGTGGACGTGTCTCGGACAGAGACGCATGAGCGCGAGCAGATCATGTTTGCTTGAGGCGCAACGCGTGTGGACAGCGCTGTGCATGAGTGCGGGCAGGCGGAATGATAGCGCGTCCCGACGGGCTGGGTAAACGCATCCGCGCTATGTCATTTTGAGTGGCGCTGGTCCCCAGCGCGAGTGTCGAGAGGTGCCATCCGCGTGTGTAGGGCAGTCAATCTTCTGTGGCGCGTCTTGCCACAACCGCGAGATGCATCCGCCGTGGACACCGCTCTGTTGCGCTCAGCCGTTGCCGCGCTGCTCGTCCGCGCATGTCGACAGGCCGCTCTGCCGTCTGCGTCTCCGGTCTCGGTACACCGTCTGCCTGCGTCACGCCACTAACAATATTGGCTCTCTCAGACTGGCGGCGTTTGCGGGACGTCGGGAAAGACCCCGTAATGCGTATAATATTAAGCTATTTAGCAACAAACAGCGCGCGCTGGAAGACATGGGGTTGAGCGCACGCAGGGGTAGTCAATCGTGCAGCATTGCACCGGTAATGTTGCATGTACGCATGCGGACTCTCACATCGTCCATGCCCGTCTGCCCGCCAGCCGTTTCTCCACGCGTCGCGTGTCCGGCTGCGCGTTCCCGCGGCTGTCGTCATGCTGCTGAGAGTGAGTAATGACCGGGGTACGCGAGAAGACGCGTCCGCTGATCGTATTACGGCGTCCCGCCTTGGGACCCTGACATTAATCTTCAGCGTATTTTCCACCGTCTACTTACCACGTCCCGGTGCGTTGTTTCCTGCATCCCGCCCGCGCTGTCATCCCTTTGACTATGGTATGAACTTTCAGGCTGTCGGGGGAGGGGCTGTGCCGTGACGGTGGGTGTGCGAGATCAGACGGAGGCTCTCATGTACAGTATCTAGTTGCGTAGCACCGAGGTCCAAGCGTCAGGAGGCGGGGCTTGTAAGCCGGTGCTGGGTTGAAGAGCGCCGCCTGCGAGCGGGTACACATACAGCACGCGCGGCGCCCACAGGCTCGACGTAACAGCACACGCATCGACATTGTCACTGTCGATCCTGTGCGTGGAAGCCCCGGAGCGCCATTTTTATTCACAAGTAGCCATGGAACCAGTACATACCTCCATATTACATGGCACCGGCGGCGCTTCGTGCCCATTGCAGATCCCGGAGGCGTCAGCGGGTTGTTGTTCGTCGCGTTGGTCACGTTGGGTGACAACGGCGCACCCATGCCTGGAGGAGCCGTGCGGGAGCGGAGGGACTCGGCAGACGTGCGACGGCCGGGAACCGACAGTCCAGGGTCGGGGTTGCCGGGGTGCGACTGGAAGGGGAAGGAGTACGCTGACGGGGGCGTTTTCTTATCGCCCAGTGCTGCGTTTGCGGCAGCGGCGAGGTTGGGCGCCTGCCCACCATAAATGCTGTTGCGGGGCGTGTCAGTGGGCGTGCCAAAGGGGTTGTGCTCATTAATGGACGACGTCGGGGAGGCGAGTTCCTCCTCTGTCGCAATGCCGGCGCTATAAGCGTATTCGGTCGCCATGCTGCTGCGCCGGTGATTGCGCTGGCGAGGACTGGCTGCGCGAGAGGGGCCGCGAGTGGGCAGCATGGGCTGCATCACAGAGCGCATCTGCACGCGGTTGACGGGGTTGCCCTCGACAGACATGCGACGACCCGAGCCCCAGCCAGCGAGGTTTGCGGCGGACGAGACGTCAGAGTCGCTTGCGGGCTCCTGGTCGTTGGAGGACCACGAGGAGCGGTCGGGGACTGCGAAGAACTGGGGACGCGGCGGGGAGAGCGGTGGGGCGTCCATGATATCGCGCTCGTCGGCTGAGTCGCGACGACGATGGCGCGAGGCTGAGCCCGCGCGCGCTCAAACGAAGGACTGGGCGATGGGCCCGGGCTGGGGGGATGCGACGGGAGACGTGAGGTGGGCGTCCTCGTCGGAGGACGAGGGGGTGTTGCTGTTGGCGGCGCCGACACGGGCGGTGACGAAGGACGGCGAGGTAGCGGGGACTGCGCGGTGGGCGTCGGCGCGTCGCGCCTGCGGTAAGACATGGCAGTGCGGGGAGAGCTAAAAGAGCGGCAGGTGAGTTACAGAGAGAGATACAGATATGGGAAGATGAGAGAGAGAGAGCAGAGAGACGTGGGCTTACGGCGACAGCGAGAGAAAAAGGGAAGGGGACGGGAAAGTACAACAGCGGGAACGGCAGTGCTCGACGCAGAAAGAGGAAGACGCGCTGCGGGCCCTCCGGCACCCGCGTGGTGATACAAGTGTCGAAGAGCCAACTGCCGGGTGACCCAGGCGAGTGCTCTAGTGCTCCCTGACGTGTGTGCTGCGTCTCACTGATCGACAGGCTCTGCCATGTACGGTCCGGGAGGTGTGCCTAGGCGAGTTCTTCGATCTGCTCTGCGCCTCATTGACGTGTTCTTGTTTGTCGACAGAGATGAAGCTCGTCTATGGCCGCACGGTTGTCTGTCCGTACATCTCGTCCTTGGCCTATACTCTCCCATAAACACTCTCTGTCAGCCTGGTATCACCACCTTCTCAACTCCATCACGAAGCTGGCTGTGCGATCCTATCACGTCTCGCTAACCCTGCCATTCGCGCTGCCACCTTGATTATCTCGAACCCTTCTTCTCTCCTCTATCAAGTACAGTCCATTGTCTCTCGAATCCCGACGGCCGACATCTCCAGGTCTACCGCCGCTCTGTGGCCGCCCGCTCCGCAACACCGCCTCTCTGACAGCCAATACCGCTGTATTTGTCCCTCCATCGGCCACTTCGAGCTTATCGTCTATCACGCCTCTCCGAAGCACCACCCACAGCGGTCCCGGGCGCACACGACGCCGCGCTGACTTCAGTCCGTCTAAAAATTAAAATCGACGCAGCATCGCATCGCGGGCGCTCCCTTGCTCCTCGTGTCTCGTCGGCTCAGCGAGGACCCCGGAAAATCCCCTCAGAGGTCCGATCCCTCAAAACCCCGAAAATGGCCCTAAAAATGACCCACTTTTGGCAGTATTTTGCGTTTTATGAGACCATGTTGTCATGGTTCCCTCCCAGAATTGGTGAGTAGACAGTTCTCCCCAAGATACATCGAAATGTGCCTGACATTCCCACGCTTAGATCGTGACAAATCTTATCTTATCTACCCCCGAAATAGGGTCTGCGCGGGATCAGAGCTCTTAGGGGATTAGCCGGGGTCCTGCTCAGCGGCGCAGATAACGGCGACGTATCGTACGCGAGGCTGGAGCCCGCGCTTGGGCGTATTCGTATTTCGATTTTGCTGTGCGCACCAGACTTCTCGCTTGGGCGGCACGTCAATACGCTGTGGGGCTCGACGTGTGTCCTGGAGCGTTGGGCCAATTCTCGCACCGCCGCGACGCGCTCGATGACTGTCTACGGGCGGGCGACGCTGCATCTCAGTACCGTGATGACGCCACAAACCCACGACGGAGCGTCTGCGCCACTGTGGTTAAAACCGGTTTTGCGACCCACATGCGTCGGTGCTTGCACCATCTCCTGGTTCACGCACGAGCTCGGCCGACTTCATGTATATGCGGACCCGCGGGCGACACGCAGGCTCGCGCGCTCAGATTCTCGGTCTCTGCTCTGTGCTGCACGTTCGTCATGCGCTTCCTTGCGCACGCGTGATGGGCGTCTATCCGAGCGACGAAGCCTGCAGGTCCTGAGTGGACGCTCGGCCTCTGTTGCGCACACAACGCGCGGGATGCGGCAGTTTTGACTCTCGGACGGCTCATGCGGACGTGGCTTCGGCTTCTCTGCGTCTCTTTGTCTATCACTGCTGCTCATCGATCGCCCGTCTATTCCCGGTAGGGCGGCCAGCCAGAGCCAGCCAGAACGAGGCCAATATGCTACTCGGGGATGCGCACGACCGGCCTGAGGTGCGATACGTGTCTGTGCGTCACCAATGCATGTGTGTATGATGCACTCTCGGGGCCTCTCAGCCTCTTACCCTCGGCCTGATCATGCGAGTAACGGCGGACATGCTCTTCGCTGTCGTCATGGCGCACGGTGTTGCGCAAGATGGGCTCTTATGGGCCCGTCGACCGGAGCCTGTAATGTCTGTCAGCTGGCCAAAGTGTTCACCCTGGGATCGTCGATCAGTGCTCACTGTGGGGCTATCTACTACTTAAGACGGTGCACGCTGGGTAGCGGGCCTTGCGGTGCAGGGACCTGTGTCAGTATATAGCAAATCAGACCTACCCTTTCTTGCTGTCCTGTCGACATTCTACCTGTATAAGCTGTGTCTATTCCTGATGCAGAGGATCTCGCCCCACCTGGCCAGATCAATCACGCTGCCCGTCTGCGTATGATTTGCCAAAT